GTTGTAATATCTTAAATATTTTACATAGTTATATGTATAATTAGAAGTATCGAACAAGTGACATTATTAGATTATATATACATACATACACACACATATTGACAAAGTTACCCTTGATTGAAAGTTTTGTATTATAAAAAGGAGCTTGTTTGGGATGCATTGTGTACTTCAACATGTAGTTATTCTTCAGCCATCCATTTTATACTAATATTGTAATAAAAACAATACATGGAATAAAAATATGTATCCGCATCTGTAATTTTCTCTACAATAGTTAAACATTGTAACAACTTTCAATGTTGCTAATTTTTAAGTGCAAACACAACATTGTGTACTTTCTGGTAACATTAGGATTATTATAGTGTAAATTATCGTGGGTAAAAATAAATACATATTTTTCTATTTATAAAATAAATGTACTTTATTTCTTTGTTTTAAATTAGTGAATGTATTTAAATTTACAGAATTCAAACTTAGAATGTAACAGTAAGAAGTTTACTGGTCAGAGTTGAAACATTTTTCTCACCATATCGTTGCATTTCTGACTTGCTTCCTGTAATCTAGTGTTATAAATATGAAACTGTTCCTTCACTGTGTGATTATTAGGCTCTAAGGTAAGCGCCACCTTCAAATCTGCCACAGCTTTTTCATTGTCTTTCATGCTTCCATATGCTATTCCTCTTCTATAAAAAGCTTTAATGTTCTCCTTATCCACATTCAATATTTTAGTACACAAAGCAACTGTATGCTCAAAGTTCTTTTGATTTAGCTGACAACTGGCCATGTTGTTGTATAATGTGAGTCTCAGATTTTCAATATTGGACTGCAACAGCTTGTCCTCTAATTCTGACATTGGTTCCAATGTTATCAGGATTTTACAGGCTTTACTGAATTTGTAAAATGCATCGACACATCTAGAACTCTTGAACAGCTCGATGCCTATTTCTTTATATTTCAAAGCTACCTGATACTTTTCTTCTGGACTCCATTTCCATATTGGTTTATGCCGCTCACATTTCATCAATGTTATCTCAAACATGACTGATATAGTTTCACTTTTAACTTCTGACTGTGATGGCATAGTAATGGTAACAAGACTTTTCTCCAAAGTATTCATCACCTGAATCGCTCTTTCGACTTTTCTGTCAATTTCTGCGCTCGCTTCGCCTATCACTAGCATTTTCTCACGCTCACCGTCAAGGATGTTTGTATAATATTTCTCTTTCAGTGCATGTCCCGACGATCCCGAGACACTTATGTTTTCCACAAAAACGTTGCACGTGGAACACTCGGTTGGCTTCTTGGTAAATATGCCTGGCTTTAGCACGTTCTTGCTGATGCTCTTGTCTGCCGATTCCCATTGTCGTAACATTGTGGTAATTTGTTGACGATCAACTCTATAGAAACATATTCCCTAATCAATTACAATTAGCAATTAAAAATATTAATGTTATATCAAAACGACGCAAGTATGACACGTCGAACTTCATTATTTCAACATATATTCCTTAAATGATACTTACCGTAAAAGTAAACAATAACACTAAAACCTAACCTAAGCTAAAAGCTGCTCGCAACCAGCATATGACATTTAAAGCCAGCGGCACACGATGCTTGTTTTCGTGCTGGAGTACTTGTTGGATAGAAATACTGCGTTCTGATTGGTGGATTTCCAAAAATGGATGACAATACACCAATCAAAATGCAGTATTTCCATCCAGCAAATAATCCTGCACGAAATAAGCATCGTGTGCCGCTGGATTCATATATATGGATCAGCCGTTTGAAGAGGAATATTTCTCAAGTAGTATGAATCAACGAATAATCAATCATACTTTAACATATAACAAAACGGGCGAAATTCAACAGATTGTTGACGTTTTCGATTTGCTGACTCGACCCGAGACGGGTCCGCAGCGTTCCAATAATCTTTGCAATATTGCAACTTATAGTTTAAGTAACTTATACTAGTTTGCAATATTATAGCGATTAGCAGAATACTGGCAGAGTCGGGTCGAGTCAGCAAATCGAAAACACCATGTAACTTCAGCAAGAATAATGATAGCGAAAAGGTTCGGAAAATATTTTAAAGCTTGAAGTCTATACTTTTCAAGAATATTAAATTTATTACACTTTTTTTCGTTTATGGCAAAGATATATCTAATTAAATAAGAAAGGCGACTATTCAATTTTCAACCTCATTCTTTAATTTTTACATTAAAAATTTATTTTAAAAAATGTCATAATTACTGTTTGAAAAAGGAACTTTTAACTATTCAAATATTGTTTAATGAACTTTATTTTCGTACATTATTGTCGTACATCAATTCGTTTGCTTACTGTATGAGCGATGAAAATCAGAATATCATTTTTGCTTTAACACGTTGCCACGTCAGTCACCGGTGACTGACAGTATAAAGTACGATATAAAATTAAAAAAATACATAGTTTAATAAGTAATTTAGAATCGTATAATTAATATACTTAAATATTTCTTATCAAAAAATTTTAATGGATTTGGCCTGACGGAGATTTCCTCCGAAATGCGCGTGGCAGTTAACGTGTTAATATTGAATAACTCGCCGAAAAAAATTGCATCATAATCCATATAATACACAAAAGTTAAAGGTTTACGCTTTCAACAGTTTTAAATTCTATTTCTCTGTCATTTTTTGTTTACGTGGAGGAAATTCAAATTTCCTGACAGATTTTGCCAAGTGATGAATCTTTATACTTCTTTATATAGCACTGTAACAAATAAGTAAACATTTATGATAATATATCTGAAAACTCTAGTAGTTAGAGACTTCATCATTTCTAATATACTCTTTGAACGGTCCTAATCATTATTTTAGCCAAATTTACATTGTGTTGAATTTATCATTTATTCCATACAACAGGAATAATCTCTTATTTTATCAGATATCTCCATTTCCTTTTAACAAATAAATCCATTGCGACTTTGTGTTGTATTATATTACTGAATAACTAAAAAAAAAAAAAAACATTAAAGGAGTATTTCAAGACAATTTAAGTAACATTTCACAGTTTCGGCATCGTGTTTAATTTCCTTCATTGGCAATTCTCTTGGTAAAAATATAATCAACTTTCACAATTATCACGTCGCTTTACCTTTTGGTATACCAACTAACAAATTGTTCTTAGGTGTACACGTTGGCGGGATCAGTTTTCCCAGATGAACTTCGTACCCGAATTGTTCGGCGTACAGCTTTCTATCCGTATCTACGATTGTCATGCACCGGTAACCTTGCGCAGTCTTGACATTCTCTTCGTGGTGTGAACACTGATGATGTGTCTGATCCGCAGCGTGACTCAAGTACGAGTACTCACGATTTCCGACATGTTCCTTGAAAACGTCACTACGCGGATACGTCAACCGATGGCAATCCTGGACCGAGCCATAGCAGCACGGGCAACACACGAAGATCGCGTTCTTCTCTATGCAAGATTGAATGACCAAATCCGTCGCCACGCCGCACGCGTGCAACGACATGCCGAGGTCGAAATTTAACTTAAAACGATTGAAGTTACCGTGGCATAACCGTACGTTCGTCAACTTCAGCTTCTCCACCCTTCGCCTAGCGATGATCACGGGCTTATCCTTGTTCTCCATCAGGATGACTTTGCAGCGGGGCAGCAAGTACGCCACCAATATTCCCAAGTGGCCGGAGCCCGAGCAGAAGTCTACGATGGTGTCACCGTCCTTGGCCAATTTCAGCACTGCCTTGCACAGGTTTTGCAGTTGCTCTCGTTTTCGTTCGCATCGTGCAACTGGCACATGCCCACTTTCCGGCCTGGCTTCGTAAGGCACGTCGGTCCAGTTGAGCGCATTCACTTCTGCGCCGAACGGCTCGACATTGAGTCCTATCGATACTCTCATACCTTCGACTAACTGCAACGCATGTTCGATGTCTTCCTGCTTCGTGTAAATGCGCTTTCCCCGTTTATACCGTTTAGGAGAGCTGTTGTACAAAGGCTCGCTGACCACAGCTGGAAGCGTGTACTGGAGTTCGCTTAAATTATGGCTCTCCTGTAAAGGCAGGCAGCTGATGCATTTCTTCGTACGTTGATCCGCCAACATCCTGTCGTACCACTTAACTGTCAGCGGCACCAATTTCGGTATCGTTTGGCTCGAATACGTGCTCAGCAACATGTGCATGCACACGAATATAATTATATCAGGCAAAGTGATGTGCACAGCCTCGACGTATTCGTGTTCCCACGAATCTGTTCCACCCTGCTTAGCTATATCGAGCGCAGCGAGTTCCTTGCACAATGGATAGCTATGTTTATTGTGCAGTCTGATCGGCTTAGACATGTGGCATTCGAATCTGGCTAAGCTGGTGGGCAATGTGAGACTGTTTGTATCTAAGTGCTTCAAAGTTGAAATAAGATCGACCTCGCAGAATTTAGTCCATGCACACGTCTCGGAGGAAACTTTCAAACTGCCAAATCTGAAGCCTAATAATTGTAAATATTGGTACATCGAAGATGACGACACCACTTCCTGTATAATCTGACGCAAGACGATACACAAACTGGACACGCAGCTGAACTTATTTATAGTTAAACACGGTAGCTCACACGAACTCGCATAATGAGGTACCTCGCTTACAATTTCGTAAACAAAACCCGAAAGGTCTATCTTATACGCTCGTTCGGTCGGATCTTGCTTGCTTGGTATTAGCTTAATATCAATCAATGATTCGCAATACTTCATAGTGAATAGAGTCACTAGTGTTTCGATGGGAGCAAGACACAAGTCTACCGCGGAATATATTGACAAATACACCTCGTACATTTCGTCCTTGTGCATTTCTTCCTCAAACAAAAACAACGAAAGATATAAAAATATAAAACATACAAAGACACCTCTGCTAACGCAGTCCCAAACGCACAGCACTCACACACTGACCCGCAGTTGTCTAGCTACTTTTTTGATTATTCTCTGTCTCAATACATTCTCTCTCCAATATATGCTGAGGCAAGAAGTAACTGCCAAGGCAAACATGAAACCCTCAAACTTCCAAAATGTTCTTTCTTCTAACCAGGCTACTTTATCGCAACTGTAATACAAGTATGTTAAATGAAATAACAGAGATCTTATATACATTATCAGATTTAATTTTACTTACGTAGGGTGTCTACACAAATTCTCGAAAAAAATTCCCTGATTTTGCAAGCAATCTGTTAAAAATTCTAGGTAAAATGAAAATATTTTTAAATATACTTTGCAAATGAATATATATTTATTGTAGTTCTTAATATTTTCCATTCATAAAAGTTGATAAATAAGCAATAAAGTTTATAAATAAGCAATTAAATTAAGAATCACTCAAATTTCAATGATCAAATATGGAAAACTAAGAAAGAAATTTTTGAAACAACTTTAAAAAATAAATATTTTTTATTGCATAGATTTAGAATTTTATTTTCAAAAGTTACTAATAATAAAATTATATAATAATAAATTATATAAAAATTATATAAAATTATATAATAATAACATGCATAATTCCATGCTTTCCAAGTAGTAGACACCCTGTTATATGTATTCTCATTTACCTTCTTGTTATTGTTTCTCCACTTTTACACTTGAGCACTTCTTTGTATCTAGCATGAACACAAATGCCGATGCTTTCACTTGCAATCTCGAAAGCTGTACATGGATGACACTCAGATAATATTTCATATTCTTCACCTGAGATACAGATGGAATTGTTCTCAAAATTATCAAGATAGAGTTTACTCGAACTATCTGTCCAATGGCTCTCGATAATTAATGCTAAAATAGTTAATCTGTAAGGGAAAAATAAAATTACTTAAATAAAGATATAAAGGTCTAAGATTTACTTGAATAGATTACTTAACCAGTTAAGTGTGTTTGATGACTATATCCGTCATGGAGATGTGGCAGAATCTTGTGTCATGACGACTATATCCGTCATGCGTAAAATTTTGTTACAATTTGATATTTAATTGTAATTCTGGAGAAAACTAAATTATATTCGTAAATTTTAATATGGGTAAAACGTTTAGAGGTCAAGACGAAATGAAACAAATGAAAATTATAAATAATTTGAGTTGGATTTATAACTTCCTGAGAGCTAACTCGTAAGCAGTGCAGCAACACACACTGGTGGGCGCTTTGCAAAGAGATCGCCACAGTTAACTGGTTAAATAAAGATATAAAGGTCTAAGATTTATAAAGCTGCAAAATAACACAAACTCAAATGCTAGATAATATTGGGTCGGTAAACTGTACATCTCTAGAGCATCTAAACGCAAAGTGATTCGCTAGTTCGCATCGCTTAACCATCTATAAAATTAAGTTCAGCATTTTCGAACCCGATAACATTGATTATTGCATCACATTATCAATTAAGTACGCAATTCATGAGAAAGAAATTAGGTTAAGCTGGGTCAGATTAGCACAGACGTTTTTCACTATCGAATGATCATTATCGATGATCTGCAATATCAGTATCAGTGCGAAGTGATAAGTCACAAATATAACTAACCCTCCTAGAAATGTGATACCTAACAACATGCGTTTCTTCGTGCAAGATTCAATCATTTCGAACTTCCGGGCTCCTCTTGTTATTAGCCGAAATCAAGGGCGAGAAACTCGCCTAGCTCCGCGAGAGATTTTAGATCACGCTTCTCCGCTCTTGCGTGGAGCGCTGGTGGTTGCCGGGGAATGAAGTTTGTCCTCATAAGAATGACAAATTCTATGATCCTTGCTCCCAATCGAAGGCATTATTGGCGCGCGCTCCGTACGTGTCGTTGGCTCACGTACCTAAACGCGAATTTCCATGTGCGAGGAGGCATCGAGCGAGAGCGGGCCACGCGACCGCCTAACCTTAAACGCGCGATAGCAGAGTGCGCCAGTAGTATCGGCGAGTTGCGGGGGTTTCGTATTTCATAATGCCCGTAAATATTTCCGTGGGACGGTTCGATCGCGCGAGTCCTACGCGAGCGAGGCCTTGACTTTAGCACGCACGCGATAAGCACCGCTGGCACCGGGGGATGTCCCCGAGAATCCGATTAAGTTGCGTCCGATCGTCCACCCGGCTGTGGGAGCAAGTGTGAGGAAAAGAGAGAGGAGCCAACGAGAAGAGATACGACCGAGAAGGAGGTACAGAGAGGGAAAATCGTCGAACGCAGGTAGACGACGCGAGCGCGCGCTCGAGTGATCGGTAAAATCTGATGAAGTTGACGACGCAATGAATAATCCTCGTATGCCTTGTCACCCCGTGCACACCCGCGTCATTCCGAGTTGAATCGACTCTCTTTTTTCCCCTACATTACAGACAGGCTGATGTGACAAAGTAGAGACTGAAAGAGAGAAAGAGAACTCGTCGAGTTCGTGCTAAACGTGTGATTCGAACGTTTCTCTTCGCCTGCCGAAACCGTCGGACTTCTCTCGCCTCTCCCGCTGATTCTCCTTCTCATTCTCTCTCTTCCCCCAACCCCCCTGTGCAACCGCAGTTGCTCGAGCGCTACGCGGTGGTGGCCATTCAGCCGCCGTGCAATTGACGTGCAGTTAACGCGTCCGGGCTGGCATGCTGGAGGCACGACTGGCCGCGTCGCGGTCGTGAAAGGGCAGACACGGTCCGCGGTGCCTCGGCGCGACGGTGAGTGAGGAGAGTGTGGAGGGCGACGGGTGGCGGCGGCGGTGGTGGCGGTGGCGACACAAGGGGGGGAGGAGGCCTTTCGCCCCCTTCGCGAGCCAGACGCCGGTAATGAGTGTTTACACCGCGAGCACGCCGACAGCGAGCAGCGCGATATCGCCGGCGATAAGTGCGACGACGACGACGGCGTCGTCAACAACAGCGGCGGCGGCAGCAGCGACGACGACAGCTACGGCGACCACGTCGGCGGGGACGACCGCCGCGTCGCCACCCGAATCAGCGACCGGCTGGATCGAGTTCTGCGAGAGACACGCCCGCGCCTCGGCCTCCGACTTCGCCAAGGCGTTCTGCGCTTACGTGAGCCTGAACCTGCCCGAGAGCGCCCGCACCAATCTCTCGCACCGCGACTTCCTCAGGAAGTTCGTCGAGAGTTTCTGCGAACACTTCGAGAGCGAGTACCTGCGTCATAGCGTGAGGTCGGTGTCGCGACCGCCGTCGCTTCTGTGCGCTTTGATTTATTATGCGCTATATTATAGGATCGTTCGTAGTGACGTAGAATCGTAGCGGAAATCGTTAACCTTTCGTTTAATAGTGCCCCGCGGTCTCTTCGATTTGCCACGCGCACGGTGTTGTCGTTGGGATGATAATATAACCTATGAGAAGTAAGATTAGTGATGAAAATGAGACTTTTCAAAGGCGCAACGACACGCTTACCTACTGTTACGAATTTCCGTTAGATGTAGAGCTTGAAAACGGATAAATTGAAGGCATGACAAGTATTCTCGTGTTTCTAGGTCACCACCGTCGCATGACGGCAAAAGTGCAGCGGCCAATGATGTAAATCCCGCGAATCAAAATGCCAGCAACACGCCGGTCCGTGCTTCGTCGCACGAGGAATTCAGCGATTACTCCGAACACGAGGGGGAGGCGGTGTCGCCGAAGCCTGTTCACAAACCTTTCTTCCGCAGATTGTCCTTCAAGGGACTCAAGAAGGGCAAAGGTTTCTTCCACAAGCAGCAGAGCGACGAGGTCGAGCTGTCGCACAGCGAGCACCGCAAGGACAAGCACTCGAAAGCCAAGTTGTCGAAGATCGTGGTGGAGTGCAGGAAAGAAGGCATCGTCAATTCCTTGATGGGCGAGAACATAGACGGCACTCAGAAATGGGAGAAATCGCGACTGGCTCTGATAAAGGCCATCGGCGGATATATGCTGGAATTTTACTCGCCGCCGAAAGCGGTGAAGCCACGAAGCGGCGTGTTTTGCTCGGCGATAACGGAAGCGAGGGAGACCACGGCGCTCGAGATGCCGGATCACGAGAACACGTTCGTCCTGAAAACTCAGAACATGGAATTCGTCATAGAAGCGCACGACTCGAACGACATGAGGTCGTGGCTGGCCACGATCAAGTACTGCATACGAACGGTGCAGCAGAGCTCGAGCGCTCCCGGTTCCGGGCCGGGGGAGACTATCGGGGACTCCCTGGGCCACGGTTCCTTGAACATCGGCCCCGACAGCGATCGATTACGAGCCAATTCGGCGAGCAAGACCTTCCGGTCAGCTAGTCATGAGCACGGCGACGACCAGCAGGGTAATCCGCCGGAGTTACCTCCGAGACTTCGGATGCGCAGCAGCAGTAATCTAGAATTATGTTCCTCCCAGCAAGAAATCGAGCAAAGTAAGGGAACAAGTTCGTACCGCCTGAGAATAATACCGTCGGTCGAGACTGGTAAACCTGTAATCATTCAAATCGTTCGTTTGCAGTGCCTGCCAATGAAGGCGAGCTGGACTTATCGAGCAGCTTACGGGAATACCCGTGGTTCCACGGCACCCTTCCGCGCTCAGACGCCGCGCAACTTGTGTTACACAGTGCAGCTAACGGTCACGGGGTCTTTCTCGTGCGGCAAAGCGAAACGAGGAAAGGCGAATTCGTGTTGACTTTCAATTTCCAAGGGAGAGCTAAAGTAAATTGCAGATGTTATCTCAGACGCGCTTTTTAGTAATACTCGAACTCGGCGCTTCTCATCGTCACGTCCGCGTATCACTTTCATTTGCAGCACTTACGGATGACGCTGAACGATCAAGGCCATTGTCGAGTCCAGCACTTGTGCTTTCCCGCGATATATGACATGCTCGAGCACTTTCGGCAGAATGCGATACCTCTCGAGTCCGGCGGCACGGCGGATGTCACTTTAACGGAGTACGTGGTGGCGAACCATGCGCCGCGACCGGTACCGGTGCACCACAACGTGGCGAGCGCGAGCGTGCATCAGCCGCAAGAAAGGAGACCGGCGGCGCTCCCGGAGCCCAGAGAAGTAAGAGTCTGCAGTGGAAGTCTAACTCCTCTTGTGTGAGCGCGAGTGGCCAACACCCACAGTCTGAAGTCTAATCTACAGACAGTGAGTAGATAACCAGCTAAAAAGCGCCCATTTATCGTATGGTCGGTGATACATGACGATTTCGGTCGGTATCCGCAATTTCTGCAAACGTATTAATTAGACGCGATAAGTAATCTATATCTAGATTGATATACAAAGTTAAATTATGGAATGTGACTTATTTATGTATTCTTCTCACAACGAGAACCACCATGTGTTTGTTATAATTTATTTAATTAATATAATGTGTTCAAAGAAAAAGTACGGACGAAAAAGGAGAAGAGAGCTGCACTGATATTGTTGAAATTATTAAAATTCTCTATACACTTACGTTTCCTTTGATTTCCTTTTTTCTCTTATATCCGAGATTCATTGTGTTTCGAGGCTTATCTTTTATTTATTCGTTTGGTGTAATAATGATTTGATTAAATTTGTATATCATTCCCCCTTAGACACGCGAAATTTGTTGAAATTCTTGTGAAATTTCAGATATCGCGAATATCGTGGTTAAAGCATAGTTTAGAAAAACATGACCGTGGGACAAGGAGCTCGCTTTTACGTGTAAAAGCTTTTTCTTGAAATTTCTGGTTTGCTGGGTATCATACTTAAGAGACTTGTATATTCCAATGTTGTCTCAAGCAATCTGGGAACGTCCAGGATTATCTTGTTGACTGGCTCAAAAATTAACTTGTAATTACTATGTTGAAGCCCCATGAAATTTGCCAAAAATTAATAGTATTAGTAATATTAACAATCAAGACAGTCCCATTTGCTTTAATTCTTCTACACAGAGTGTTAGAAAAATCCACATCTGCATTATTTGCGACGGATCTATGACAAACTTTGATCATACGGACTATCGATATAAATTACAATCTTCATGTTATAATCAGGGTGTTTATTATCCTGGAAAACCTGAAATTCTCAGAAAATCTGTTTATGCCTGGAAAAATCAGGGAATTCTCAGGAAACTTTATTAGAGATCAGGGAATTTAAAATAAATATTTGTCTGCAAGCCGCATTATCGTGTTGTTCGTAGACAAATATTGTGTGATTCATTGAATTTTATTTAATAATATTTTCTACATTAAGAAACAAAAAAACCGGTTCAGAATTTTCAATTGGATTTTTAATTAATTTCAATTAATGAAGAATGAAGAAACGTTATATAAATCATAGGCGCGAACTTGTGTTAACATCCTGTGTATACTGTGTATACTAAGTGAATCACTAAAAGTGTCATAGGTTAATATTTCTGAAATTGAACGAGATATGAAATTATTATTTTCCAGCGACTATTTGGCATCGAAACGGACATTGCGTGATGAAGTTAATTTTTCTTCTAAGCGAAGTCGTTTAGGTTATTTCAAGGATACTTTGATTTGTTTAACTGACAAAATGTAATTTTTATTACGTGTAATTAAAGCTCATCTCTTTATGAGTAAAATCGTTACATTGAGAAAACAATGTGAAATAACAGAAAGTATTCAATTCTTGTTGAGAACAATTTTATTTTAATTTAATGATAATAAATATTAATAACCTTTTTTGAATGAAAAATATCAAAGATTTCATACGATAAATATATATTCATTTGCAAGATACATTTAAAAATACTTTCATTTTACCTGAAATTCTTAACAAATTGCTTAGGAAATCAGGAAATTCTCAGGGAATTTTTTTCCGAGTTTGAGTAGACATCCTGGTTATGATTAATAAAATGCTCGAAGGATCTTTCTGACACGCTGTGTGTGTACATTTCATGCAGTCAGCATCGCAGCTTTATTTTCTGCAAAATCCAGAAACTTTAAGAGAAACTTCCGATAAAATAGCGGATCAGAGGATGCATTACAACTTATGAGATGTTAATAAAATAGGTACGCACGTACGGTGGTTCTATAAGAACGCGTGTGGAATCGTTGGAGCGACTAGAACAACAGAATAGCATCGCGGAACAGCAGGGCTCGGCGTCGTCCACCGGCAGAGCGGTTCAGAACACTTACAGTTTTCTCTGATATTGGATTCGCACTCCGATTCGCAATCCACCGTCCGGCTACAATCTGGTCAGCCCGACGGATTGAACACAAACAGCAAGTGCGAAAAAGAAAGATTTTTATTTTCACAGCCGCGCGTTACTCTGTGCAGTGCAAATGTATTCGACCAAGCGCGTCACTTTTTTTAGTACAAAAGTTGTATCTTTCGTTTCCTTTTCCGGAAAGTAAAAGAGAAAGGCTCTTCCAAACCCTGTTGACTCTCGCGTAGGAACATCCGACAGTATATACCTTTATGATTCGTCAGCAGCGTGTTTGCATTGCATTTACATTAAACGATAAGCGAATAGAGAATAGACTGCCGAACGAAACAAATCTCAGTTAGCAATAGTCTTCACTCTGCAGTATTGTGCATAAAACTACCCCTCGAATTACCTCCTCCACTCTCTTTCCCCCTTGAAGATGTTACACTTCCCACGAAGCTCTCTTTTGCACGTTCGCATGTACCCTACGGTTTGTCACCTTTTATCGAGATCAAATTAACCGACCTCCGCCTTTGTCCTTAACGAGAGAACGGAGAGGTGTATTTTAATTTAAAATCTAACAGGGTTTAAATTTAACAACGATAAAAAAAGCCCGGTTATTCGCTTAACTAATTTTATGGTATATGTACTTACATAACGTACCCCACGCGTAAGAACACGCACGCACGCGTAGGCGGGAAGTGGTGGTTCCTCCCGAAATCGCGAATTGTTCAACTGCCATGTGTCGCAACTCCCGATTCGTGTCCTTGGATCAGCCCGAAGACTTGAAGACGAACGCCACGCCAAAGCTAAAATTTAATACTAGTGAACCTCGCTTCGTCACCATCACAATCTGTTACGCGAAATTGCATTTCAGCCACATTGTCGCTAGTCCCGATGCTTCGTAAGACGTCGAGTATAATAGAAGCGTCCTATAACCATCAATAAGTGTAAAACATGTCGCCGATACTCATAAATTATCCCAATGCTCGTCAATGTATAAATTTCCGATTTATCGGACAAATAAAATGTTTGAAGAGAAAGAGAGAGAGAAAGAGAGAGAGAAGGGTGTAACTTTATGATGAGTCTGCATAAATCGAAGGGACAAAGCGTTTCGAGCTACAGTAAGTATCGTCCCACGTATCCTCGCAAGAATAGCAGCACCGTACTTGATAAGCAGCGTGTCGAGAAGCGTATTAACGAACTGCTGTAACGACTAAGGACTAATCACTAACACTGTAGAGCAATACGACTGCGTGTGCGAAACTTACACAGATAATAAATAAATGTATGAATGGATGGTAACATGTACAATAGAAAGCAATGATTGACGAAGTATCCGCGATATTTGGTGGTACGAGCATAGAGCAAGTATTCTCAGTACGAGCCGAACTGATTACTGTGATAAGATCTTTCATTTTGCGCAGGCATCGAATATAATCCCGCATTGTCGTCTACGCCGGTCAACGTTCTTGTCCATGAGGATCATCGCTGTTACATCGTCGATAGACAGGCAGACAGTTGTATAAATAGAATTTCCAATCGCGATATATGTTGTTGTAAGGAGGAGAGAAATTCGTAGGAACGTCGTAGCCGATCCGGTGAATCTATATCGCGAATATCTGTTCTTTAGTCAAGGCGCTCATGCTGTAGGTAGAATGTAAGCTTTATCCTTCCTGTACTCACGCAGTTAAAGCCGACAGTCCGTGGGATATACCGAGTCTGACAACTGATAGGCATTCAACCGTAATACTTTTTTACCTTATGTTAAGATGCAAAGATGAGAATAAAAACTGGATTACCTGGAGAGTACTCTCGCAGTTGTGTAATACGTTACTTTTAAGTTATTCACACGCACGTGCTTTACGCACGTTCATAGAACACATGTATAGCGTTTGTTAGGCCGAGAAGTCGTTAGAATGTTAATTGCTCGTGGAGATTACTGTAGCGTCTCCCCAGCTATAATTATAACTTCTTTGGATCGTGGACATTTATTTTTGCGTTATCGAGATTAATTTGAGAATTTTAACGAACTTTCGAGATTAAATTGTGTGAGAAATTTCGGCGTCGAAAAAGTATTACGATTTAAAATACGAAATTACAATTTATCCAAATAGGTCAGATCATTTCGGTGAATGTCAGTATGTAAACATTAATAAAAGGCACGCCTTCCCTATATAAGAAATATGTATATAAAAGAACTGAATATAAAATTTAAATATACACGAGATTATGTAATACACAGTTGTTTTTCTAAGTATAATTTCGAACAATAATATAATTTGTGGAGATATACACCTTGAGTAATCGCAGTCGGTAAAACTTGATCTAAACTGAAAAGAACTGTTCGTTTACTTCGCATGTAGCAAATTTTATCTTGTTACGAACATTATTTTCGCATATTTTTTCAAACAATGTCCATATATCAAATTGTACCGTACAGAAAAGATCAAACACAATGTCGACGAAACACAAGCTTAATGCGAACACGGATGGCTATGGATCTGCCACAGTATTTTAATCGAATCTGCTGCCAATCTGCCGGGATACTACTAACATTTTGCTTACTGAGTCGATACTTATCAAAATTACGGAGTTGGAAAATGCTAACGGAACGTGGAAAATAGAATACATTTGTTTCTACTAGGCGAAACTAACATTACACATTCGTATTTCGGTGAGTTTGTGCTTTTTTTACTCAGCGATAACGGAGCCGGTGGAGCCGGTTTCAAGACTTTCCTATATTATAAGCCTGACTGAAAAAACCGGCACAATCTACTTTCGCTAGAAAGACTGTAATGAATGAAGTTTGTTGTCCATGATTTCTTCGAGTAAACAAACAAAATTTTAACATAAAAAATATGTTAAGAAGTACTCAAATATATGTTAAATTAATATTCACCTTGTTAACATATTACTTTTTAACGAATTCACCTTGTTAAAATAACAAAAATTTTGATGAACTATTTATAACAAAATTGCTTACTATGTAGAATATTTAATTTAATGCCGTTTGATTGACAATTGATATGAATAAATTCTACAATCGATTGCTAAAATTACCGTTAACGAAAGATATTCTAAAGTAATTCCAGCGTAACGAGAAAATTGTAAATTTGACGAAAAAAAGAGCCTTTAACTTTTCCTCGTTCATACCAATCGTCAATTAAATGGTCTTCATTTGATTGATTTCGTTGAAATCAGTCATCAATTAAACGATCATTAATTGAATTTATTGAAAATTCAGCCATAAATTAAGCAAAATAATTCATTAAAAATGTAATTAATTACTTGCAACTCTACATATACAGAGTGGGGCAGTAACTTTTTCTACCTGGAATATTTCTACTATTTTTAGAAGTGTGAAAATATTTTAATTAGTTAGAAAGTTATATGGTATTAAGAGGCCTATAATATATTAGTAATAACAGCGGCGCGAACTGGACGCGGCGCGCTGTTAGTAAATCATTTGCGTGTATTTTTTGATGAAAATGGGAAAATTTTGATATTATTTTATTATCTTATTAAAACAAAACATAGTTCTACGTAGCATTTAATTTGTTTAAACAAATACATAAAAGTTATAAACAATTAGAAATTACATGTGCTTCTCAATCAGTTACGACAAAAATGTTTACATATTTCGATTCCTTATTCAATTTCGAATAAATGAGTTATAAAAGAAGTTGGTAACTCGCAATAGGTAAATAACAACGTTCATTTGTTTACATCGATGCAGCGGCGCGAACTGGACGCTGCGCGAACTGGACGCGGCGCGCTGTTAGTAAATCATTTGCGTGTATTTTTTGATGAAAATGGGAAAATTTTGATATTATTTTATTATCTTGTTAAAACAAAACATAGTTCTACGTAGCATGTAATTTGTTTAAACAAATTCATAAAAGTTATAAACAATTAGAAATTACATGTACTTCTCAATCAGTTACGACAATAATGTTTACATATTTCGATTCCTTATTGAATTTCGAATAAACGAGTGAAGAAAAAAGTTGGTACATCGCAATAGGTAAATAACAACGTTATTATTCGAGAATTTAGTTACTTTCCGTACTAGAAACAATGCTATTTCGAAGCAATGCGAATGGTAATATGTTTCGCGGAAATAAAATGTGGTGAAATCTGCTTCAATGAGTGCTAACTTGTGCGGAAAACGCCAAATTAATGTGAATAGCGAATTGTTGATTAAGACCCTAGAAAGAACTACGGACCAATCAGAAACGTCGAGTTTTATCAGGGTGTGTTCTTTATGCGTGAATATCTTCTGAATAATTTATGAAATCTTGTCAAGGGCTTAGACAATGCGCCAACAATTCATTCAGATGCAATTTTAGAGTACACGCTTGCTTTATATAAGTACTGTCAACAAATAATTGATAATGTATAAATGTCATAACGGAGAAATGGTATTGTCACTAGTATCATTATATTTCGTGGTTAACAACGAGATTAGAATTTATCAATATTGAAATAATAATCGTACACGTAAAAGTGTTCCGAAAACATAGAGCATACTGGAAGAATGCTTTGAACTAGCCGCGCGATACATTTCCATCATACCCCAAGCCGCATTAATTGATTTTGGAATTTAGTTACTTTCGGTACTAGAAACAATGCTATTTAGAAGGGGTGCTGATATGTTACGCGGAAATAAAATGTGGTGAAATCTGCTTCACTGAGGGCTAACTTGTGCGGAAAACGCAAAATTAATGTGAATAGGGAATTGCCGATTGAAACATTCCTAGAAAGAAGGAAGGACCAATCAGAAACGTCGAGTTTTATCAGGGTGTGTTCTTGATTCATGAATTTCTCATGAATAATTTATGTAATCTTGTCAAGGGCTCAGACAATGCGCCAACAATTCATTCAGATGCAATTTTAGAATCAACGCTTGCTTTCTATAAGTACTGTCTACAAATAATTGATAAAATGTATTAAAGTCATAACGGAGAAATTATATTATCACTAGTAACATTACATTTCGTCCATGTCAACGAGATTTGGATTTATCAGTATTGAAAAAGTATTCGTACATGTAAAAGTGTTCAGAAAGCTTACAGGACAGTGGAAATATGCCTCGAGCGGACCGCGCGATAGTATTACACCGCACCCAATGCTGTGGAGATTTATCCTAATATTTAACAACTTTTGTTATTTGCACCGTAACAATGCCATTTCGAAGCAACGCAAATAAGCTGCGTGGGAATAAGATGTGATTAAATCCGAGTGATTGATTAAGGTAAAACTTTTGTGAAAAACACGATATTAGGTTAAATGTGATTTGTCAATTGAAAGATCCCTAGAAGGAGCAAATGACCAATCAGAAACGTCGAATTGAATCACGGTGTGTTCTTGATGGATGTACATTTCACGTATTAATTGGATAACAATATCAACTTTAGATTGTGTGTCCGCTTGTGTTTAAAACAATTTATATTTGAGGTAATAATTATTTCCTATCTTAATTTATCAATTACGTGTTGTTCCATTAAAATAAATAAATCGTCTTAATAATATTATTTTTATTCGATTATAATTCCACCACTTCACACAACAATTCGGTTATAACGTTAATATGTAATATACGTTAATGTGTAATGCAACGTTAATGTTTAATTAATATATAATTGATACATTTAATTTTGAGCTACAAAATTACAACAAAATGGAAATACATTATTGTTGCATTCAATTAATTTCATTCAGTGGAAGATAACTTCTTAAGTGACAGCGAACAACTTTGATAACTTACCTAAAATATTTTACATGGAAGACAGAGATAAATGAATAAGCATCGTAAACGATCTAATATGGATATTGCAGAAAACTCTCAATTATGAGATGCAATAAGGGAATCTTCAGAAGAATTGTGGCCTGATGAAACAAAGTCTGAAACAACTTAGTCATCAAGAATTGATACAACTGACTAAAGTAGCTATTGACAATGTTATTGAAAGTGATCCATTGTTCTTTGCATTATTCTCAGAAAGTTACGATAGAAGAACTTACATCACAGGTAG